TACAAATTCTCCTTACAATATCACCCCTGAATGAAAAATTGAGGTCAGGAGAATAAAGGAAATGATCACCAGATAAAGAAGCTCTTGATTGTTAAACAAAGACCAACTTTGTGACATAAGCATAATGGGATTTTATCTCGAGGCCTGTCATCGATATAGTTGAGTATTTAGGTGTGCCTTTGCACGGGGCAAGGAGCCTTGTCAATCACTGATCTTAAGCCAATCAAATGAGGTCAGATCAAATAGCACCAAGGTCGGTTTCTCTTGTGGTCCTTCTCGCCTTCATTTCCATCTTGTTAACATCTGAACACAGATTTTCGGTACTGTAGAAGAATTTTCCCACCCCCCTCCTCATACCGATATTTGACCCCACCTTTGCTTAAGAGATTGCATGATGTTTATTATATATCAATGTTCTCGATGTTGGGTGAAATAAAAGCATCACTTTTGCGGCCAATAATTTATCCCACATTAACATGGCTGGTGTTATTCTTATCTCCCGTCAATCTCGTCAGCGAACAAGCGCGACGTCACACAGAGCTTCGGTACTGTTTTAGTAGTGACACACAGGTTTCGTGATAAAATTGTCTTTGTCAGCACCTAAGGAAATGTATAGAAAACAATATGGAGAATATGCATCCTGATGTAAGGGTGTTAAGGGCTACTGAAGACATGTGGTATTATCTCCTGAATTCAATCTTTTTAGGTGCAAGAGGAGGAAATGCTTGTGGCAGAATTAAGAAAAATTGAAATGCGCAAGAAAGAGAGGGAAAAGAAACAGCAGGATTTACAGAAACTCATCACAGCTGCTGAGAATCAAGCAGACTCATACAGATTGAAGTAAGTGCTCACTATTGCTTGTACTTTTGCTTTGTAAAACGTACTAAATCCTCTTGCTGTTCCTCAGTGTTTGGAAGGTGGCTGAACCTACATTGTACTTTTGGAGTATTTTTTGTTCTTTTTCCTTGGACAACTTTTGTTTTCTCACTAAGCAATGAGAACATTGTTCTTGCTAGAAAATGAAACTTCTAAAGATTTATCAATAATTATGTCACTAAACATACGGCAGAACCTCTCTTTCACTTAGGTTGGCATGAAGTACAGTGGAACTCGTTAAAACCGGATGCCCTTGGGACTGGAGGAAATGTCCGCTTTAGAGGGGTGTCTGGTGTACGTGGTTTATTGAGGTTAAAAATAGAGAAAATGTATGACAGAGATTTAGGGGCTGAAAAAAACCTCCAGTTTTGAGAAGATTCCAGTTTAATGAGGGTCCAGTTTAGAGGGGTTCCACTGTAGTTGGCAATGTGCAGATTTTCAAGGTATAATGGGATTAATTTAACTTCTTGTTATTCTCTTAATTAACAGAAGAGACAAGAAACAAGTTAAAAAGAAGCAAACTAAGAAGAAGGGGGAACAAGGAGACAAACCAGTCAAGGTAAACATATAAATATTTTCTAAATAGGTGGACAATCAGACTTGGTTTGATGCTACTCTAGTTAAAGATTTAATGAATTGTAACTTCTTGGTTACATTGAATTTCATAAAATCTTTAAACAGAGTAGCATCAAACCATGTCTGATATTTTGTACTTATTGACTGAATGTTTTTTATTTTAAGATTAGTGTGGTGTTTCCTTCTTTGTATTTTCTGGATGATGACTTGTAGCCAAGAAAACTCAGAAGAACTGTGGGAACAAAGTGTCAAACGTCCTGAGGGAATGCATTGTGAACTTTATGCCTTGCTATACAGTGACAGCAGGTCAGTTGAAAATTTCTTAGTGAAGCACAGTGTTGACTCCTAGCTTAGGAATTGGAAAGGTATTGGAGGACATCCCTCTGAAATGCACAGTAATTAGAAATTACTATATTTTTAAACCTTTTGTTTACTTTTCATTAAAATGTAAGCTTCCCTGCTAGAACTCAGTTTTTTAGTGTTCCTTAGGTATTATTTGTAAGTCAGATTATTTACAGTCATTTTATGGTAGGTGGAATAAAACAGTTTTTGTTACTTAATCTATACTATTCAACACTCTTACTTCTGTTCATGTGTGCAAAGCCAAACGTGCTCTTACATCATCTTTTGGAAACAACACCTTATGAAGATGATTGTTCTGATAAATTATGCAAACATAAAGCTTGATGGCTACTGCTAATGATATGTAAAAATTAGCAAAAGTTGTCTTTTTTCTGGTCATGGCAATTCCTAAAAGCAATGCAAAGTAGTTTCTAATAGAATTACAATTTAGTGTATGATAGTGAAGAGGATTTTAAAGTTTTAAAGCAGTTAAGTGGTTGGGAGTGTCTGTTTGCAGGGGGGGGGGATGGGGCATCTTTCAAAATACAACAGCTCTCTTGAATACTGTTCATGATCTTTGAGGTAGAGGTAAATTTGGCATTTAAGGTTTGTCACAGGACTTTTTCAAGTGGAAACTCAGTTCAGATTTTCAGTGTAATGGTTACCTAGTTATTGAACAAGAAGTTTTGATTTGTGAAATTGTTGTATGTGTACATGTGCAGTATGTGATCACATTTTCAACAGGGATGTGACGCACATATAAACTTGTAATGTGCAGGTGTTGGCCAGTATATGTTCTCCTTTTTCCCCAATTGGCATTCAACTGTTTATTTGTTCTGTTGCTAATCCTATACTTTGATTTGTAATCATTCAGAGACCCTCCACCACTGGCTTCATCAGACACATCTCATGGCTATAAACAGATGAAAGCCAAGTTAGGACGCAGGCACGTGAGGCCATGGAAGTGGATGCCTTTTACCAACCCTGCTCGCACAGACGGAGCAGTGCTTTACCACTGGAGGAGGGTAGCAGATGAGGGAAAAGAGTATCCATTTGCCAGGTTTAATAAGGTAAAGTTTTTCCTGTCTGAATTGTCTCTGATCAGGCAGGAATTAAGTTTGCAAGACTAGTGCACTTTCTGAATATGTGTTTTTTTTGANCTTTACAATGTAACCCCTGAATCACACATTAAGGTTAGGAGAATGAAGGAAATTATCACCAACTAATTAGAAACTATAGAATTCACAATCCTTTAACTACCAGAAGTGATTAGGATGTAACTTCTCCCTGAAATATCCATTATGCATTAGACAGGTAATAAGAATTAATACTCAAATAAACATGTATCAGGTAGAAGTTGTTATCTTCTCGTACAGTAACACCTTATACTTGTAACTAAGTTATAAGGAAATTTACAGCAGGGAAAGGGTAGAATTAACAATCAGAGCTTGGGAATTAAAGGAGCACTCTGATGAAACCACCCTATAATTTGAAAACCCAAAAGATTCAGTTATTTCATTATAATATGAATTTTTAGTGATTAATAAAGCCTTTTCAATAATAATTTTAGTTGAAAGTCAATTCTAGGGCGAGAAATTAAGATTGAAAATTGTTCTGCCATTAATTTTCATAATCACAACCAACTTATCTTCGGTCAGCGGTCACTCTGAATTTGTGATGTAGATTACTCAACACACTTTTAAATTTATACGGAAACCTCATGGAATTTAGTGAAATAGTCTTAGTCTTAGTGTTATAAAAAGCAATATAGACGATCAAAATACTGTTTTTGAAAATTAGCCATGAGCACGGCGTGTCAAATGAGTAATCTCCAAACTCGTGCCAGTCTTCTTGAACCTAGCAAATGATTACGAAAATTAATGGCGGAACGGTTTTCAAATCGTAATTTCTCGCCCTAGAATCGACTTTCAACTAAAATTGTTATTGAAAAGGCCTTATTAATCACTAAAAATTCATATTTTAATCAAATAACTGACTTTTTCGGGTTTTCAAATTATAGGGCGGTTTAATCAGAGTGCTCCTTTAAAGGGTTTAACAAATTCTCCTTGTCAGCTACTAAGGAAATTTATAGAGAATAGTATGGAGAATATGCATACTGATATTAGTGTGTAAAGGGGTAAAGCTGCTGCAACGCGTTGAGGTATATGTGACTGCAGCGGTCTGCCTTCTCTCCTGCTCACTAAAAGTATTTTGTTGTTAACAATGCTCAACTGATAAATTGTAACCAGTTATATAATTTGGTTTTATCAAATGATTTGATAAATTGAATTGGCAACAGTAGAAAATATCTAATGCTGAATGTTTCTAGTGTTGGCCGTTCGTCATTCTATTTGACGGAGGACTAATGCACAAAACTTCAGCCTGAAAGACTCTTCACTGTGGCCAATTGACATTATCAACTCTTCAAATTATCCCATTATAGTGTAGAGAATATATATACTGATATTAGAGTGTAAATGGGTAAAGCAGCTGTAACACGTTGAAATATAAATTATTTGACTGCAGTGCTTTGCTTTCTCTTTTGCTCACTAAAAGTATTTTGATGTTAACAATGCTCAACTGATAAATTTTAACCAGATAATTTGGTTTTATCAATTGATCTAATAAATTGAATTGGCAACAGTAGAAAATTTCAAAAGCTGAATGTTTCTATTGTTGGCTTTTCATCAATCTATTTGATGGAGGACTAATGCATGAAACTTCAGCCTTGAAGACTCTTCACCGTGGCCAATTGACATTATCAACTCAGTCAAATTATGCCATTATATCCCCCTACCCCCCCCCCTGATGTAGCATCAGAGCTTCATTAGAAACTTACTCCCTTGATATATTTTACGTCCTGTCCCTTTTTTATTTCTTGACAATGCTCGCTAGATGAAGATGCCAGGATCAGTTGGAATGAAGAAAGCTAAGGCAGTTGAACAACTCCTGGAAGAGTTGGGAGTTGGTGGGTGAAACAAAAATATTGATTTGTTATTATTTACAAATTTATATTCTCCGCTGCTGAAGTTATCATTTGCAGTGATTCGTAAAATTTGATTTCAATCATTTTTCTCATTATTTAGGGACAAATGTATCTTTTTGCTATTATTTAATTTGAAAAGGAAACAACCATCATGTGAAAACTGATGTTTCTTTTTTTTTTGGGGGGGGTAGAATCCAAATTCTCCTTACAATAT